AGGACCCAACCATATGCAGCTGCGAGTACCGCACGGATATGAAACGAAGGAGGGGGCACGCAAACTAGGCCCCTCTTCTCATAGGCACCGCGCCACTGGGGCCTTCGGTGGAGCTCCCTATGGGGCCACGAAACGTGTGAAGGGTGTGCCGAAATGGGTGGTGGGGAGGCATGCGGACCCTGCCACTGGGGCCTTCGGTGGAGCTCCCTATGGGGCCACGAAACGTGTGAGGGGTGTGCCGAAATGGGTGGTGGGGAGGCATGCGAACGCAGCCACTGGGGCCTTCGGTGGAGCTCCCTATGGGGCCACGAAACGTGTGAGGGGTGTGCCGAAATGGGTGGTGGGGAGCCACTGGGGCCTTCGGTGGAGCTCCCTATGGGGCCACGAAACGTATGAGGGGTGTGCCGAAATGGGTGGTGGGGACGCATGCGAACGCAACCACTGGGGCCCCTTCGGTGGAGCTCCCTATGGGGCCACGAAACGTGTGAGGGGTGGGCCGAAATGGGCGAGGGGCGGCATGCCAACTCTGCCACTGGGGCCTTCGGTGGAGCTCATTATGGGGCCACGAAACGTGTCAAGGGTGTGTCGACATGGGTGGCGCGGACGCATGCGAACCCTGCCACTGGGGCCGTCGGTGGAACTCCCAATGGGGCCACGAAACGTGTGAGGGGTGTGCAAAAGTGGGTGGGGGCGGCATGCGAACCCTGCCACGGGGGCCTTCGGTAGAGCACCCTATGGGGCCACGAAATGCGTGAGGGGTGTGCCAAAGTGGGGTGGGGGCGGCATGCGAACCCTGCCACTGGGGCCGTCGGTGGAGCTCCCTATGGGGCCACGAAACGTGTGAGGGGTGTGCCAAAGTGAGATGGGGGCGGCATGCGAACCCTGCCACTGGGGCCTTCGGTGGAGCTCCCTATGAGGCCACGAAACGTGTGAGGGGTGTGCCAAAGTGGGGCGGGGGCGGCATGCGAACCCTGCCACTGGGGCCTTCGGTGGAGCTACCTATGGGGCCACGAAACGCGTGAGGGGTGTGCCAAAGTGAGGTGGGGGCGGCATGCGAACCCGCCACTGGGGCCGTTCGGTGGAGCTACCTATGGGGCCACGAAATGCGTGAGGGGTGTGCCAAAGTGGGGTGGGGGCGGCATGCGAACCCTGCCACTGGGGCCGTCGGTGGAGCTCCCTGTGGGGCCACGAAACGTGTGAGGGGTGTGCCAAAGTGAGGTGGGGGCGGCATGCGAACCCTGCCACTGGGGCCTTCGGTGGAGCTCCCTATGGGGCCACGAAACGTGTGAGGGGTGTGCCAAATGGGGGTGGGGCGGCATGCGAACCCTGCCACTGGGGCCTTCGGTGGAGCTCCCTATGGGGCCACGAACGTGTGAGGGGTTGCCAAAGTGCGGCAGGCGAACCCTGTGGTGGAGCTCCCTATGGACGAATGAGGGGTGTGCGGAAATGGGAACTAATGGCGATGGCGATTGATGATGATGATGACGATGATGATGCTGGTGGTGATGACGATGATGATGCTGGTGTGATGATGACAGGATGGTTGGGAACTAATGGCGATGGCGATGATGATGACGATGATGATGCTGGTGGTGATGATGACGAGAATGATGATGATGATGATGATGATGATGATGATGATGATGATGCTGATGATGATGAAGAGTTGATGATGGATGAGATGATGATGATGATGATTGAATGATGATGATGATGAGATGATGATGATGACGATGAGTATGATGACGGCGATGGGAGGAGGGAGGAGGGGGGAGAGGAGGAGGAGGAGAGAGAGGAGAGGAGAGGAGACGCGGGGCGCTGTCTCTTCAAAACGAGGACCCAACACCACAGGATGGTTGGGAAAAATGCTCAGGAGGCCCCCAGACGGCCCAAGAGGGCCCAGCACGGCCCAGGACAGCCCCAGGACAGCCCTCAAGGCGCCAGATGGCCCAACAGCACCCCCAGACGGCACAAAGTAGCTACGAGAGGGCCCAAGAGAGCCCCGGAAAGCCCCCAAGAAATACCCAGAGGCCCCAAGGCAACCCCAAGGTAGCCCCAGAGGGACCCTCCCCAGTGCCCCCCAGTAGTTTCCCCCACGGCTGGGGGAGCACGCAGTCCACATAGGGGAAAGAGGAGGGAAAGGCGGAGGGGAGGACGAGGAAAGGGAAAAGGAGGAGGGGAAGGCGGAGGGGAGGACGAGGAGAAGGAAAATGATGAGGGGAAGGTGGAGAGGAAGGTGGAGAGCGGAAGAAGGAAGAGGAGGGGAAGGAGGAGGACGAGAGGGAAGAGGCGGTCGCGATGACGGGGGAGAGCCGCAGACCACGCCAGGCGGCTGACGTGGACGCCTACTTGCCATCCCCACCGCCTTCCCGCCCTGGCGGCAGAGAGGCGTGCCCACCTGCGGCGATCGCCCTCCTCGACCTCCACCTCCTCCACCTCCTCCTCCTCCTCGTCCTCCTCCCCCTCCTCCCTCCTCCTCCTTCTCCTCCTCCTCCTCCTC